TATTATTACCATTTTGGCAACCGATTTTAACCTTTTGTAGCATTTCATTGCTTATTTTAAAGCTTAATTGGAGTCCTGGAGATCATCTCATGACTCCACACTTGGTGTTCCGTCACCCATATTGGGATCCTGACCCCAGGAATCTCTGTGGGGGGAAAAAAAAAATCAGATTTTCAGACAAAATAGCACAATATGGAGCAACACAGTTTTTACAACACGCTTTAAACAAGGATATGCTACGTTTACGTGCTTTAACGCGTTTCAATTAAAAAAATGTACATACTGGTAAAGTTAAACGATAAACATGCATATTGATAAAATTAACCAAATTAAAAATAAATTAATAAATTTAAAATGTTAACTAAATAAAAGTGAAATAAATGACATGGCTGTGTAACTTCAACACTAAGTAAAGTTCGTTGTGTTGTGTAGATCACGAATAAAAGTTGAGTTTTCCCACTGTTTCCGGCAGCTCCTGAAGGCAGCGCGCTTCCCAGTCATTGGCTCACCATTGAACCGGTTCACTCGGAGGAGCTGTGGGGGATGTAACGTCCAACCCCCAGCAGTCACGCGTGGCTATTCACACAGTTGTTTAATCGGTGARGGGAACACCGACCGACAAAACCCGCCGACATTCTGTAAAGTATGTAACAGAAGATAGTTAAAAGTTAAATTCTTCGTCAGAGTGAGTCCTCTCATTTTGGCATATCTTCGATTGTTTTGCACCTAAACGAAGAAGACATGGAGCCGATAACAAAGTGGACTCCCAAACAGGTTGTTGACTGGATGAGAGGTGAGTCTGAAGCACTTGAAGTTAAGTTTGTGTCAAACAGTGTGTTTTTATTCACATTATTTTTTTACATCTGACTCAGTTTCCTCCAGTTAGTTTCGTAGAAACCGCTCCAGTGTGACAGCATACCTTCACTCAGGCGTAACAAAAGGACCACATTCTCTCTTTGCTCTTAAAAACTGACTTAGCTGTAATAATGCTCACTGTCAAATGCTTTAAAACATTTTGATTGTAACCAAATCGGTGTTTAATTGGGACTCAGATGCATTGTTTTCTTTAAATTTGCATGTCAGACATCCCAACTTTGTTTAAAAGAAATTTGCTTATGTCTAATTAACAGTTATGACATTAAATACGGTTGCATAAGCCTGTATACTAAATTATATAACTCACTTTAATTAATAGAGACTATCAATAACTCACTCTCTGGTGAACCTCTGAGGAAGTTGTTGGTTCTGTTTGTTTTTTCTTCCTTTTTTTTTAAACAAAATCCCCATGTACACTGGCTTATTTTTACTTACAGTTAGTTAACATAAGGTTTTACATTATATTGTATTTACTTACAGTTAGTTAACATAAAGTTTCATATAAAAAGAAGCCCAAACATCACCTGTAACATGATAATATAGCTAAGCACCTAAAAGAAATGCTTAATAATTCCTCAAAACTCCCCCTTTTTTTTACATTTAAAACTCCAGGAAACTCAGCTTGTTTCAGACTGGAGAGGAATGCCTGCTATGAAAGTGACATCAATAATATCGGCTCTGCTCACAGCTGAAGTATGTCTAAGCAGTGAGAGGTTAACTGGAATGTAAAGCATTGGTTTAATCAGTGACAGTGACACCATATCCTTATACAGAAACTGTGACGTTGGTTTATTACATGAAACTTTACACGAGGCTTCCGACAAAGTTGTTTTGCTACTTGTCAAAACAAATCTTAGGTGATTCCCTTGAATTTGATTTTATGCATGAGTCAGCTCAGGCTTTTTTTTTTTTTCCTTCCTGACAGGCATGCATGTCAGTGGGAGTGTCAGTTGGGAGTTAAAGAGGGAGGTAGATGGTTTGTGTCCATGTGTTTTTTTTTTTTTGTTTTTTTTTTAAAGGAGCCCAGTCAGTACATACATGGATTAGCCATCCATACAAACCCCCACTGGTCTCAGGCTCCTGAAAAGTCTGACTCAGCAGATATCTGTGCAGGTCCTAGCAACCTGATTTGCAGACCCCTCTGCAAACACAGAGGAGGTGAAGGACCTTCGTGGCTCGTGAGAACATTTCACCCTCCTCTTTCACATCCAAACTTGGCGGTGGAGCGTGAACGCTGCATGTCAGCTTGCGTTTATATCTAATTTTGTGGGGGGGGGGTATGGCTAAATACCAGGTCGCCGTGTTTATAGTAAACCAGAAGGGGTTATTGCAGTTTTGTCGTTACACTTGAGATTCAGCTCTGAGCTTTTAGAACCAGTTCTGAAATCTTCCCTCCCCTCTTTGAAGTTTGACTTAGCAAAATACCCTTTTGCCTTAGTTCTAGGCGCTTCCTGTGGGTGTAGACTACAATTACTTCGCAAACATGTGACTCAGAGACACAAAATAAACAAATGCATATCCAGCACTGCTTGTTAAAGGGGACATATCATGCAAAATCCACTTTATAGTCGATAAATACATTTTGTTGTGTATTTGAAGGAGTGCAGAAAACGTTAATTTAGTCTCTCCCGGTGCTGCATAAATATCTGTTTGGGTCGTATTTTCAACCCATTCAGTTTCCTCTATTTTCTTTGACAATTTCTGAACTATTGCGTCAAATTATTTGTGACGGAACTGCAGAATAAGGTCTGGACTTACCAACTACAATTTGGTGGTTTTCATTCTCTTCTGACTCTGGGTCAGACTCTGGCTCCAATGTGCTGGGTAGACAAGTCTTCTGTTGTTGACATGTTTAATTTTGTAAATAAAATATTTCTGTGCCGCTAAATAGTCGTAAACCCCTCTATCAAACTAGAATGAACTGGTCTGGAAACTGGAGGTGGGCGGGGTGTGAATCTGCTCGTTTGGAGTTAAAGAGACAGCGTCAAAACGAGCTGCTTCAAGACACACCTCAGAAAAGGGGTGTTTCTTTTTTATGTCTTATGAAAGTTTAGCTTGTTTGTTCTGAAGAAAAGAAACAATAGAGCAACAGAATAAGAATAAAATTGAGTCCCCAGCTACAACGYGTAAACGCTATGCTGCRTTCCAGTTGTCCTCGGAGATCGTAGSTTCGAGCCTCCRAGTTCTATTTTTCGACTGGAATGCCCCCTGAAGTCGTAGTTTCGAGTCGAGAGGTCGGCGCATCCAAACCAGACCCGAGCAGCCCGAGCATGCGTTACGTCATCATTTCAACATGGCTGCTGCGCGCATGAAACTGTAGCGGTTGCGCTATCATTAGCATGTTTCTCTAAGCTAACGGCTAATGTCGAGCTGTAATCAAACATACACAAGCAYCATCCCCATTATTTAACAGACAGAAAGTAAGAAGAAAGGAGGCGGAATAAAAACGAGTGTAATTTGTTTGTTTATTCTTCCTTTTTATATTTGTTTAATGTATGTAGCGTACTAGCATGCTTGTCCAAGCTAACCGCTAACATTGCTAGTYTTGCATGTAAACAAACGCAGCTTTGTTCTGTGTTGTTTGTACACTCAAAATACCTCGTAAAGCACTATTATTGTATGTTTTATTGTTGCAGAGCAAAATAATAAACGTTTTTTTCCGATGAAACTGGAACGCTATCAGCTCGGAACTGACGTCAGTCTGGCTTCAGAATTTCGAGTTCTGATACAACTGGAACGCAGCACTAGTCTTGTTCTACTGAAGAAAACTTGTGTAATCCTTGCAGCACCAGCAGCCTGTTACAGAAATAAAGCAGGGTTGTGCCCTCTTGTTGACCATCCACACCAACKTCAAACATGGGTGTTTGCAGAGTTGGTGTGCGACAGAAGTCAAACGACCGTCTCAGTAGGGAGACTTTTACCCCCAACATTTGCCTCTGTTTGGTTCCTCAGCAGGACACATCTTGTGTATTGAAGCCATTGGTAATCACTTGCATTGTTGTAAAGAGATCAAGTGATTGCTGGTAGTTGTTGCCAATGAAAAGGGTTTGATTCTTTGTAAACACTTGTTTTTTGTTTAGGGGCCAGAGATACCCTGAAGCACTTTTTCCTTCAACACTAGCTCTGATCTTTCAGCTAGTCCTGTGGTGTCGTGTGATCGGTTTGCCATATGTCATGTGCCTGACGACTTACCACGACGMAAAAAAAAAAATGCACTCAATAAATTATTTTAGTAAATTTATTTTAAGAATGTGGCTTGTTTTGAGGCTGTAATGTGGTTAGACTTGAATGACTTCATCTTGTGACAGTTCTGTAATAATTACAGACATAAAAAGAGAAGTTTCAATCGTGTGCTATAAGTCTTTTTCCAGATATAGCCTGGATTTCAGACTGTTGTATTTGAGCTGAGACAGGCTCGTTCAACAAACACAAACCTTTTTTTTTTTACCCCCGCTCTCCATTTTTACCCTTTGGAGGTGTAAGACTGCCAAGTTTTAACAAGGCATCCCAGACATGGAAACTTGCACAACTACTGTCTGACTGGGCGGCTTTGTTCCAATTCTTTAACAGACCAAGACTCTAGAGAGTTTTTTTTTTTCACTTTCTTACTGGCAAATCAAACTGTAAAACCATGTATCTGGAAATGTAAAATGCATTGAATGTTTCAGGCAACAGATCATAATTTTAGTTTTGTTTCTTGTAGAAAATCAGCTTTCATAACAGTGGACCTGTTTTGCCACTTCTTAGCGTGAGGAGCTACAGCTGCACGTGTCTTGAGTTTGATCAAAAACAATATTGTGTAAAAATTAAATCTGCAGTCTCTGATATGATTGCTTTCAGGTTTCACCAAGAGCTGGTCATCTTAAAGTGTCCACATTAAGTGAGTCAAATTTGCACCATAAATTGTATGCAATCCCTCAACGTTTTATGAACTTTGGCTCCTGTTATGGTGACTGCAGCTGGTGTGGAAYTCCAGATTATCATAGCTGGGGTTTTGAGTTTTTACTCAGATCCATCCCATTTTTTATTACCTCCGACTTCGAAAATGATGAACGTGAAAGACAAAACTTGACGTTTCCACTCACCGTTCCACAAACAAACATGTGATAAAGTTGGCACCATGCATAACGATGTGTCTAGTCAAATATTTTGCATTATATGACAAATATTTTGAACCTTATACTTTATTCCTGTTTTTCCACGAGAACAACAAAAGTGGTAGCAAGTGGCATGCATTTCCTTTTAGGTTACATCAATGTGCCAAGTAGGCAATTAGATGGTCCTGAAAGTGGCAGACGTGCGCTAAATATTCGTTCCTCTTTAGACAAGTATATGTTAGAGAGAATAACAGGATTGTCCTCACAGACAAAGTGACCTGCTGGATGCCTTGACCAGCCTTWTCTTTAGAGATGATAGCTAGGTGTGGGTGATGACGGCCCATGATCCTTATCTGGCTAAAACAGAAACTTCCTAAACAGGAGTGTGAGCAGACATCATGCAGACATCTCACTCTAATTAAAGGCTTCCCTCGCCACTGTTTTAGTGTTTGCAAGTGGAGTTCTTTGTTTGGATAGCGATCCCAGGTATCATTAATCCATTAGAAAGCCTTGTGCTGTACAGATTGTGATGTCAAATTAACCCAAAAATGTTATAGGAACAACAGACRTTTGTTTGCCCCCACTGGTGGCCTTGCATTGGAAAGGAAGTTACTGGCTGGCACAATTTATTTACCAAAATTCAGTCTTCCCTAAAAGGTAAAATCCTTCAGTAGTTTATGGCTGTGTCCAAAACAACAGGCCGGGTCCTTCGGAGGACCCAGACTCCCCGGTCTCGGCGGGCCGGGTCCTTGGTAGACCGGGAAGACCGGAAAAAAAGAGGCTGTGAATTTGGACGGTCTAGCCTCCCCTCCTTACCCCG